ACCACAGCAGGTTTTTTTTGCATTTCATCATTTGCCTGAACTCCAAAGTTCTGGAAATATTTTATGATGTGTTCTGCCTGTCACAGAAAGAATGTCTCACGTTTTCTAATTAAATTCTAATTCTTCTATGTTCTTCTGTGTTGTGAGGAGCTTGCTCTCCCACCTTGCTAAGTCAGAATTTACCCATTGTTTGACCTCAGCTTCTTCTGGAGAAACATCTCTCTTTCTGTAGTAGGTGCAAAGTGCCTGTTGAAAACTAGCAATAAAACACAAAAAAAACATGCACAATGAAAGCAAGGTTTCTGCCCACCCTGTAGTCCACCCATCCAGTCTGTACCTCTCCAGCATCTCCTACAATCAATATACTCCACATCCAGATCAGAAAACCCTCCCAATGCACTGCAGAAAGCTCCTGATGTGCTTGTGCCCCGCAGTGTTGCTCTTCAGCAGCTCTGGAGTGGTGGCAGCCACCGAACTGTGGCCTGTGATCATGAGCTTCCTTCCACTGGTTCCAGTTCTTCCTCTCTTGCTTGGCAGTAGATAGCAGAAGCCTACCACCACATCCCCCTCCAGTGCTCACCTATAAGCACCCACAGTTGGCAGTAGAAAAAACACATTGTTGGGAATGCTGTTGGGCCTTGCAGAGTTACCTGGCCTGAACCTTGCCCACTGGTGCCAGCAGCCCCCATGTCCCATGTCCAGCCATGTGGCACACAGCTTCCTGGGGCAGCAACCCCACATCTCATCTGATGTCTGTGGTATCACAGAATGACTGAATTGTTTTGGTTTGAAAAGACCTTTGAGATCATCCAGTCCAACTGTTATGCCAGCACTGCCAAGGCCACCACTAACCCATGTCCCTCAGCACCACATCTACTTGGCTTTGAAATCCCTCCAGGGATGGGGACTCCACCCCTGCCCTGGGCACTCTGGGCCAGGGCCTGACAATCCTGTCCATGAAGAAATTGTTCCCAATATCTAATCTAAACCACCCCTGGCACCACTTGAGGCTATTTCCTCTTTTCCCATTGCATGTCCCTTGGGAGAGGAGACTGACACCATCTCACTCCAACCTCCTCTCAGGCAAGTTGTAGAGAGCAACAAGGTCTCCCCTCAGCCTCCTTTTCTCCAGACTGACCACCCCCTACCCTCAGCTGCTCCTTGGCAGACTTGTGCTCCAGCCCCTTATTGCTGTTAGCTTAAAAATAACCAGTGTCCCTGGTGGTGTGGCCAGCTGCTCAAAGGGCAACATCCAGGACACCTAGCAGCTCGTGAAGGGTTCATTCATGTTTTTCTGGAGTCACTAACAGCTCTTGTATGTCTCAATGTTTCCCCACAGCCAGCCACCTGCCTCACCCAGCACGCAAGAAGCAATCCAGGGCATGCTATCGATGGCAAACCTCCAGTCCTCAGAGTCCTGCCTCCAGACACAATGGGGCACCAATCAGGCGAAGAATAACTCCATCTCTACACAAAACTCCAAAAAAACGGGTGGTGGCAGCAACAAAAATGCTGGCAAACGGTTACTGAAGAAAAGCACAAAGAACAGTATTGACATTGAAGATTACGATGAAGATCAGGACCACTTAGATGCCTGTTTTAAAGATTCAGATTACGGTCAGTACAAAGGAAGCAGGCTGAGGGAGTGTGTGCCTGGGATGCTTGTACCAAGTAGATTCAGTTAGATTGTCTTCATGGCACAATCAGAGGATCTTTAGAGGCATGGAGGCCCACTGAAACTGCAGCAGTCAGACAGGAAAGAGGAAACTGTCCCAAAAATGTGTGTCAGGCTACTGGTACTTGTGACACACATATCCATGTCTGCACAACAGCAATCAAATAGCTAGCTGAGATGAGTGAGAAGCTGAATTTGTACTTTGAAAAGGGATCCGGTGACATTTGGAGTGTGGGTAGAGAATGCAAGCACCTGAGGCAGGAAAGGGCACAAAGCCAGTTTGCACCAGTTATATCAGTTCTACCATAATAATCTGCAGGAGCATTTTTGCATATAAGAAGTGAGGAAATAAATAAAAGTAGTCATATGAAAACTGATAGGACTGGAAACCCTGAAGTCCAAAAGAAGTTGATAGAGGTTTATGCTGCATAACAGGAGTCTGTGTGTGTTTTTAAGTCACCCTGTCAAGTATGACCATCAGAAATCATCTGTCACAATTGGAAAAGTGGAGCGTGTGCTTGGACATGATTAACAGAGATGGCAAGGGAAAATGGAGATGCTCTGCCATGCTGCAGCAGTTGGTTGCCCAGCCTTTTAGAGTGCACTGCATGCATTGGGATAGGGAATGCTCCATGAAGCTGTTGGACAGGGCTCTTACTTAGGGAAGATGCCACACATGAACAAGGCTCTGCTCTACTGAGGGGTGGATTTGCTGATTACCTGTTTGGGCTTCCAGGGAACAGAGAGTCTTTGTTATGAGCAGGCTTGGTTTGCAGAGGCTGTTTGTGCCACATCTGATCAACAGACTTCTGCTATCAGTGGCCAAATACCACAGTAATGCCAAAATCAGCAGGCATGTAACAAATAGCAACTGGCAAGAAAAATCAAACGAGAAAAAAAAAATACAGAAACTTCCTCATAAAGGCTGGGACAACATTTAGACAGATAAGCTGGTGTTTATCCCAGAGGACTGTGAAAGGTACTTTGGCAGAATGGTTCACGTTCATCTTTGGATGCCTCTCAGCCAAGGAAAGCAGTTTCCAGGGTCTGACACAGCACTAGATCATTTCTCTCCCCAATGGAGCAGGAGTCATATGGGCTGGGAAGGTGTGGTGCTGAGTGAAGTGGTTGGCCAAAGTGTCTTCAGGTCCAGTCTAGCTTGGGATAAGGAAACCTATTTGTGTCTCTTCTAGCTGTGCTGCTTCTCCTGATTCTTTCTCTCTGAGAAAGTTCACTTTCCTAAAAGTAGATGCTTACAGTGTAATGAGAGCAGCTCCAAAGAGTAGCGTGTGGCTGGGAACAGGAGGAATCCCAGAGCTTTGCAGCTATGTTACCACTCGGTGGCACCTCGCGGGGGGACCTTGCTGTTCCTGCTGTGATGCCTGTAGTTGCCACCCCTGTACAGAGCAACAGGGTGGAGCTGTTTCTTACACTGAAGCTATTGTCTTTGTTTCCTACTGTAGTTTACCCTTCTCTCGAATCAGATGAAGATAATCCAGTATTCAAGTCCCGATCAAAGAAAAGAAAAAGTTCAGATGATGCCCCTTACAGTCCAACAGGTAAGTCCCTATGGTTTGTGCTGCCAGACTCAGTCTCAATTGTGCAAGTCCCTATAACAAGTGCCATTTTTCAAGGAGTGTGGAAATTTTAAGACCACAACTAGTAATATCTTTATCATGTGAAGTATTAATCCTTTCCAGCAGAGTGGGACTCACACTGAGCAGTGTTAGTCTTCCTCTGTCAATCAGCTGGCAGGAAAAAGTAATTCCTGGCTGGTTGTTGGATTATTTTTCTTCACTCTCTTGTTTATGGGACAGCTGGTGGCCACCTTATCAGTGATGTAGCAGTGAAAGCCCAGACAGCTGAGTAGCCATGACTTGTGTAAAGCCAGAGTGTGGGAATGGTCTCCTGCAGGTTCAGCCAAAGCTAGTGGTTTGGGAGTGTGTTTTTGTTGCAGCTCACCAGAGGCAGTGACAGGCCAGGGGAGTTCTTTGAACCCTTGGATGTGGCTCACTCACAGGGGAGTCTCCATGGCTTGCTGTGTGTGTGAGAAGCAGGCCAAATCCCCTCAGCTTGTGGCACTCAGCTCGACAGGGTGGTGAACACTGTCCATTTGGAAATGATGCTGTAGTCACTCATCTCCATAGTGGAGGCAGAAACCTCCTGTGGCTTTTGGCCTCAGGTGGCTGTGTTAGATCTTCATTGGCAGGCTCTCCCCCACCCACCACGTTGGGACCCCCCACAGGGTGGTGAACACTGTCCATTTGGAAATGATGCTGTAGTCACTCATCTCCATAGTGGAGGCAGAATCCTCCTGTGGCTTTTGGCCTCAGATGTGAAGCTGTGTTAGATCTTCATTGGCAGCTTCTCCTCAAGCCACTGTGTTGGCACCTCCTGCCTTCACAGGCATCCTGGGAAAGGGGGGACAGAGGCTGCAGCACCTCTGGCCTTCCCTGCTCAGGGGGCAGTGCCCCACTGCCTGCCCTGGGGTTCTGCTGCTCACACGGACACACTGCCTGTCTCACCTGCATCTGCTTTCCTTGCAGCACGAGTCGGCCCCTCGGTGCCTCGCCAGGACAGACCCGTGCGGGAGGGCACCAGAGTTGCCTCCATCGAAACTGGACTCGCTGCCGCCGCCGCGAAGTTGTCACAGCAGGTGAGGTTGCTTGAGGAGTAGTAGCTGTCAGAAAATGAAAGCCCCCAGCAGTAGTCATGCCCAAATACAGTGCCAGTCCTGCTCAGTGTTTACCCATGCCAGTGACACAAGGCTCAGCAGGCTCAGGGGATACACATGGGATGGAGGTCCAACAGTGTGGCAGCAAATCTGAGCGCAGCCGTGTGGTGCGGGTGTAGAGAAGGAGTGAGCCAGCTGCGGCTCCCAGGCTCAGGCAGGAGGAGGCTGCCCAAAATGAGTGTGCCTGAACCAGATGTGGATGTGTATTTGAGTCTGACTGGTGTGATTGCCTTGTCTGTGGAAACTGGCTCCTGGGAAGGCAAAGGATTTACATCTGAAGAGTTGGTTAACCATGGGTATCTGTGGGTCAGTTTAGCAAGGTATTGAGGCACTTTGGGTGTTGGTAAGTGTCTAGTCTCTGAAGGTCAGATAGATGCTCAGTGCCTAACACAACAGGCCCAACAAATATGACACTGTGAGGTGTGAAGGTGACACAGTCTTCTGGAGCAAGGGTGGTGAGACACCTTGGCAAGTTGTTGGAGATTCAGGTTTAGGTGGCATTGGTGTTCTGCAGTGGGTACTGTTGAGTAGAAGAGCTGTAGCAGTTTCATCAAGAAGCAGACAGAAGGTAGGCGAAAGAAACCGGGTGGTGACAGCTCTAATGGTATGGATACAGAACTGCAATTACATGTGTGTCCTAGCAGGAAGCAGAGTCTGTCTATCAGTGGGATGTTTAGTATCCTCCATGCTATGGTGTAAGTGTATGAAGATCCCTGAAGGTAGGAGGTGCCAGTTTTTGTGGAACATTGAAAGGTTTGGTCATACCAAGCCCGAAGGCAGGGTCGTTGTGGTGCTGGCTCCTCCTCTCCGCAGACTACACAGAGTTAACAAACAAGGAGGCCCTGCCCAAAGCACATTCCTAGATGCAAGAAAGGCCAGCATGTGTGTGCAGCAGAGGGAGCTGTGAGTGAGGCGGCATCGGAACAGCCCCTCAGCACTTGGCAAACGGCTGAGCATGGCAAACTCCGCGGGTTTCATTGTATCAGGACCCTAAGCAACACTGCTGGCCCTTGCCATAGCTAAGGGTCTTCTGGGAATTAATCTGAGCTTCATGTTTGTCATTTTAAAGGAGGAACAAAAAGGCAAGAAGAAAAAAAATACCAAAAAGAAGCTGTCAACCAACAACGTGAACAAAGTGGCTCAGGAAGGCAGCTCGCCAGAGCCGAAGCTGGAGCCACATGCCAGCAGCCTCACAGATCACGAGTACACCGCAGGGGCCAGCACCTTTGGGGTCGCCCAACCTAACAAGGGATCGCAGCCGATGGCACCAGGTGTTTTCCTCACACAGAGGAGACCCTCATCATCCTCGCAGAACAATGCCTCCGCCAAAGGTACCAGGAAATGCCTGGGGTTGCGGTGTAGGAATGGGGAAGGGTGAATTGGTCATGTAATCCATGCCTTTCGCAGGGCCCTCATGCGGCGTGTCATGGGTATGTAGAGGTGTTTTGGCAGGTCAGGTCTGGTTGGAGATAAGGCCCATGGCCTTGGCTTTCCTGGCACTGGGGGCCCAAACGTGTTGTGCTGATGGGCTGTTTTTTGCAGAGTATGAGGCAGCCCATGCCAGGAAGTGCCCAGGTCTCCTGAGGAACACCTGCAGTGGTCATATCAGTCCAGCCTGTCTGGTGAAGTCTTGTCCAGGGGAAGATGCATCCATGAAGGCCATTCTGCCCAGGGCTAGGTCAGGCTCTGCTGAGATTGGCTGGTGGTTGTACAGCAGTACCTGTGCTGATGCGTACATGAGGACATCCTACCCAGCCAGTGTAGAGCAGTGCGAGTCCACAAACCAGCCTTGAGAGTTGTCACAAGGGAGCAGAGGAATGTCAAAGCTTGGGAGTGACTCAGCTGCACAACCAAAGCCAAGAGAGAGGAAGAGGTCACT